AAATAGATTTATTGGAAAAATAACAGAGGCAATTTAACCGCACATAGGTGATCATATTTTAAGAGCATCCTGAGGGTAGTATATAGGGCTAGTGTAGAAGAAGCCAAGATGTTTCAATAATGCTACTGAAACACATTTATAACACAATTCAGCACAGTTACTGTGGAACATAATTTGTGGAATACATCTAGGTGTAAAATCTCTGGAGCTGATCAGAGATGATCCCTGAATAGCAGGCTTCTTGAGATGGTCACAGTAACAACAACTAGTTATGGTTCTGGTCACAGTTAACATACACACTCCTATTTTAGCTTTACGTTTTACGCATATGATCAGACAATCTTAAATGTGAATCAGATTATATTATTTCACTCTCAAGCACAAAACAGTGGCAACTGAAACACATTAAAAACTTTACTGTATTTATTTATTATTTATCCTCCTTAATCACATCATCAATCATCTTTAAAAACCTCACCTGGAAACATGGAAGAAATTCAGGCTCTGCAAACTTAATAAAAGAATCAATTTTTCTTAAGATATTGCTCTTCCTTTTGCTTATTTTCTTTAATCTATGTGTATATACATTAACCCACAATAATGAGGAGGTAACACTGAATCATGCTAGCTCAAGATTGTTATCCACAGTGATGCTTCATTGGAATGTCTGTTCTGTTGAAGAAGCAAGATTGGTGAATGATTTAAGATTAATGCCAAGACGAGACACAACTTGCGTTTGTATTACTTAGCAATACCTGGAAGCCGAGACTCTGATCTAGAAAACCACTTAAGAGTGTGTTTAACTTTACTCCTATGTGCAAGTGTTTCACTAAGTATGAACTAAGATCTGCAGCTAAGACTTCAGATAGACTTTTCTGTGCAGCAGTGCCAATTTGTTTTATAATTGTTACAATTTAAAACACAGTTCAGCTGAGACCAAGCATGGAAAGTTTAAATACCACATGGAAGCTTTTTTCCCCAGAACACTCGTGAGTAAAAGATTACTCCAGATTATAACACTACACTCTACCTCACCTTGTAGAATTAGTTTTTGCTAATGGTACTACACAACTATAACTGATACAAGTTTTGTTACTGACTGCTGTAGCCACAGGGAACTCCATACATACAAACGCAAACTGCATACAGACACAGAGCTGTTTTATTGTTGATAGAAACAATTCCAAACACACACACGGGCACACATCTTTTACCTTGTGGTTGAGGATTTCTCCATGGGAAGTCCCTCATCCGGTTATGATATGGAGGAACAAAAGAACTTCTGTGACTTTGTTGGAACCTGGGATTAAATTCTCTTTGTTGTGTTCCTGAAAAACAGTATTTACTAAGCAACTCTGACTGTATGTAAGATTAAATGAAGAAAAGGAGAGATAGCTTATTCTTTTTTCAAGAAACATTTCTTAGTTTTATGGCAAAATACTTATGCACAATTATGATTTTTCCAAACTAAAGTCAGCCTAATAAGTATGGTTCTTGTCCTCGTTTCCATGTATGCACATCATGATTACAAGCTGTTAACAAGTGTATTTAGAAACCAGATCAAAATTTTATGACACAGATTTGGAAACTGCAGTAATTAAAGCAAAACAGAAATCTCTGTCCAAATTGGAATCACACATCATCATTAAAATGGCTACGTACAGCTCTCAAGCAATAGCAGATGCTAGCAAGGTCTGGAATCATAAATACCCAACAGATACCCTTAGTTTTGAATGTCCAGCACCAGTAGAAATATTGCTGTCACATAATGCAAAGTACTGAACTAGCAGAAGATCATTCTATCTGTTGTAATTTGCTCAAGGAATTCTGAAAGGTTAATTTTTATCCTTGCAGACATGATAACTGATGAGGTATTAAGCAGGTAATAAACATAATACCAGTAAAAACACTAACATTCAGTGTCAAGTATTTCAAAGTCTCAAAAGCATCAATAATCAGGCTGATCTGTGAATGACACTAAAAACATTTTAGATGTTTTTTTTCCCTGAAAGTCAGGCAGATCAGGTAGGGAAAACAAATGTCTTTAGTAAACTAAGCCATAAATTTGGGAGGGGAGGAGAGGAAAGGAAGGTCTTTGGCAAAAAAGAGCCGTTCTCCAGGTTGCCCAAAGGCTTTCTTATATTTTGAACTATACCAGTCAGTCCTATAAGGACTATCCTCTCTTCAATAACACACTCAGACCTTCAACTATCAATATTAAAATAGCTCCTCTGAGGGAAAGGAAGAAAAAACTCTGAGTCATCTAAGTCCTCCAATAAAAATAACTTTCATCACTGAGTAAATAGCAGTGATCTTTCTGTCATTGAATGATATTTTATTTACTGCATATATCTCACTAACTATGTAGCTAGATGGAAATATTATTCTACCCAATCTTGAGTAACCAAATGCACAAAAATTCCTAGAACCAGGAAATATTTTCTTAGATCTCTCCTTCGGTTTCTTGGAGAAAAACCTTATGATTTACTTAGCTTGATGGGCTGCCTATGTAAATGCTGCTGTTGTTGAAGGATAATCGAGCTCATCGATATATTGACTTTACTGAGAAAATTAATACAGTGCCAACCTGTGATAAATCCATTCCCTCTTGGTCTGCTCTCTATTGTTCTTTTCTTCGCCATGCAAACCTTGAACATGAAAGACTTCAGATTCTGGAAGGGTGTATACAAAGACTCCTGCAGACAACAGGGTTAAAGATGAATGGCTGTTCTGCTTTTCTCTCTTCAGGTATACCAAATCACATATACAACCACCACAAGACTTGTCTTAGCCACACTCATGTATATATGAAGGTGGTAGATCTGGTTCACATTTTTTCAGGAAACAAAGTTCAAACATTTCATATTAAAAGTGGATCCTTGGAGGGATAGGAAAGGATGTTTTCCCCTTTCTCAGTGAAGTTTGTTTTTCTTCTCTGCTCACATCTGTAAATCACTTGCTTTCCTATTCTATCACCTGGCACCTGGAGATATACTTAACTAGACTTCTATCAGCAGAGATGGTTAAAGGCTCCAGATAAGGACTGATGAACTCATGGAAAACACACCAGTGAAAATCAAAGTATCTTTATCTCATACATTAGAAACAAAACTTAACACAATAGTAATACATCAGCCCCAACTCCTGACTGCTAAAATATACCCAAGACTAAAGAGAAATGGGAGAATCAAATAAAAATGTTTACCTTGTGTTGCGATAAATAGTTCTATTGTCGAAAGGACAAGTTGAAGCTATTTAAAGATGCAATACTAAGAGGTGTGATATAGCCTTAACTTTCACTGATTTCAGTGAGCTTTGAAGAAGTGTCAGATCTTAGAATCTTTTTTTTATTGATTTAGTGTCAGATCTTAGTATCTTTTTTTAATTGGTTTTTACTGGGTATCTGGGCAGTAGTACACATTGAAAAGAATTATGAAAAGGTAGATTTTAGAGCAATAGCATAATTTGTGATTTTCATAAAACTGATGTTTAAAGGATGACAATTCATTTTTCTAACCTCCAAGGTGGAAGGGGAGCAGGAAGGAGGGGAAGAGATTACAGGATAAGGTAAAAAATCCAATAGGTGACAAGGCTGCAGCAACTAGAGAGGTTTCCTAAATTAGAGGTAGAGTCTGAATATCCCTGAGCCCTCCCACAAACTTTTCTAGCACATTTTTTTAAGTAAACAAATATCTTTAAAGAGCCTTAAGCAAAACTCACAGATTTATTTTTTTTTTCCACAGAAACTGAGTACAGTCTGCGAAGAATACACACTAAGGGGAAAAAACTTTCAGTGTATGTTTTGGGAGAATAAATTCAGAATGTACTTATAAAGGCTGGATGAAAGATGTGATCAGAAAAGGACAAAACATATCTCTTATGCTGACTCCATTAGGTAATTTGGTTTTAATTTCAAAAAAATTATCATAAACATACTCATTAGTAAGAAGCACAATAAAAAGGCTAATTAAGTGATAATATCATTTTCTCACTGCTTTATGAGACTATTATATCCAATTTTCTGTGTGGATAAACAAACTAATATGATTACTGTTATCAAAAACAGAGAACTACCATAATATGAGTTCAGCGTATTTTTTTAAAAAAGCAAGATGGCTCTATTTTTGATTCTTCTCAGAAGCTTTCCATCTTTTAACAGCTGTTAGGCTACAAAGAGCTGAGCTACACAAAAACTTGAATAGAAATGTATCAACTGCATTTAATTTATATATTTTCTTTTTTTGGTACAAGAATCTGTGGGAAGCAAACCCTAAAATGTCCAAGATTTCTGGTATACATGTAAATATTTAACCAAGAATGTATTTCTGCTGTAATTTTCATAAAGCCATTAACTGTATTTAAGCCCATCATAATCAAAACAACACTGACTGAGATCTACTAAACTCCCTGAAGCAATGTAACTGTCCAGATCACAGAAAACGGATCTTAGGATTTAGGAGACAAGCACCGAACACCAAAAGGAGTAACATTTTCCTATTACTTATCTTTTCTATAACAAAACATCCCATATAGAATAAATTTTTCTGAATACAATGCTGTTGCTATAATCAGATTAGATTTATAGTGCTCAAGGGTAGATAGTTAACAAACAAGTGCTGAAAGATCCTGGCTTCCAGCAGTACATTAAGCTCTGCCAGGAACTAAGTACCAGTTTCATTTATTAAATTTGAACTTATAATAACAAGAAAAAACAATCACATATGTTTGTTGCCTTGCCAGTGTCCCCAGCTAAACTGGCACCTCTTGGCAATTCTCCCAAAACCAGATTCTTGCCTCAAACTGATAAGCTGGAAAGCTATTTTATTAGCCTGGGAGCTATCTCTGCCATATATGTATGATAAAGTCATACCTAAAAAAGAGAAAGGTATTTAAACTGCTCTAAAAATTCACAGGGTCAGACTATTTTTCCACACAACAGAACAGTTTGCCTGGGGTTTGTTTAAATTAGAGTATCAGGCTTTTAAAAACTCTAACCTAGGTATTTTAGTTGATGAAACGAATTTCCAACTCTGTTCTAGGGATCTAAGCTTCTTCTGTTAAATATAACTTTAATCTGACCTCACCAAATTTTCAAATGTTAGCTAAAACACACTACCTAACACATTTAAAAATTCCTCTCAGACAGTACAAATTTTGTACAGATTTAGATACATATTATAAAAGTTATTCACTAACCTGAATTCTACCCACATGGACAAGAAGTATCAATCTCACATAGATCTGTATAGTTTTACATTTTCTCATTTATTCTTTAGACCCTCTATCGTTCTGCAAAAGTCCTACATGAAAAACTGGATGAACCACTGGCCCAATCCAAAATCTGCTGAAATCAATGGATCCATTAATGGCAACCACAGGATTTGGATAGAGGTTATAGTCCTAATCATATGATTGATTCCATATGGAAAGGATTATCCTCCTCCTCCATGCTGAAAACACATACATTCCACCCACCCACACGCATTTCACTCATCATTCCAGATCAGGATGGTATGTAACTGGACACAGAATGAGAAAAGAAAACTAATTATACAACTGATATTGAATGCGTAAGATTAAAATAATTCAAAATCTAAAACTTTTTTCTCTGTAATCACTTTTATTTATTTTAACCTGAAGTGATATATGTAACAGCAGGCAAAACCATTTCAAAGTTAAGATATTCAAAAGTCATTAAATGACATGGAATTTTCAGTTCCACATTGAAAAGAGACACACTAATTGAAGGTCTTAAAAGCTGTCTACACAGATGAGCTACAGACCTACCCATCATGGCAGGGGGCTTGGAACTGGATGATCTTTAAGGCTCCTTCCAACACAAATCATTCTATAATTCTGTAAGATTCCATGATCTCTTCACATACTCTGTCTGGTCCGAGGCTTCACTAGTGCACTAATACAGCCTTGTATCCAGTTCAGCAGACCCTTCCTCTGAGCCTGGACATGATGCCACTGTAATAATGCACCAGATATGGCACATACCCAGCAAGACTCTGCTGATACCTCCCTGCCCTTGCTTGGGCTGACACATTTTAAGTCATACTGGGTTTTTTTCGTGACATAGCATGAAAATAGCATAAATTCTCACCTTCTGAAAAGTGGGACTGAGAATGAAATAAGTACTTTGAGGTATGGGAAGGTACTTGGTGAGATTCTAAAAACCACCTACATATATACCTTCCTCTGATTTCCAGTTCCTCTTTGAATTCATGAAACTTTCAGACTTTAGGTTCCTTAATATCTTGCAAAAATATCACTTTCAAACACTTTAAAAATTATACCCAGTATGCTTATTTAAAGACATTCTTAGTATGTTGCCTAAAAACTTACAGGAAAAGGATGTCATTAACATCTTTGTACTAGAAAACCATTACAGGCATTCTCATTTTTTTAAATTAGTGACCATTTTGACACATATTATTTTCTGAGTAATGGACACAAAAATTATAGCTTCCTTCATAGTCTCAGTATTTCTACCTCCTTGATGTTTTTTTTTGGTGGAGTGGATGAAAAAGGAATAGAAGAACAACATAAAGAAAGAGGACCAGCATAAACATGGATATTAAAACAAGAAACAAACGTGGACAGGTACATTTTTCAAAGAATACAGAACTATCAAAGAGGATGCAATTACTCACATTGCCTTCCAAAAGCTCTTCCAAAGTGCAACCTCGGTGCGACTGCTGGTATTTTTCTTGAAAAAGTTTTCCATCAAACACTTCCCAAGGCATCAAATAATCCATTCTGAATGGAAAGCCACAGGTACTATTGGCCATGAGCAAAGTTGTAAGGCCACGGACAAAGACAGCACCAAGATGTACAGCTCTGGGGTCCACCTGTGCAAGCTGTAAACACACACACAAAATGGTAGGTCTCACAAATCAGGAAATACAGCTGATCTTACCATCACATATAACCATGAGAACAGCAGAGCAAATCATAAACAGTCCCAAAGCTGTGACAATGATGGTCCTCTACTGCACAGTAGAATTAATCAAAAGATTCTGTATTGAGTTTTATTCAATAAAGTGAAAGAAGTGAAGTTTGTTTTAACAAATACAGCATCTCACTCAAGTTTTTAAGACAGATACATACAAAATGAAAACAGAAAGACAAAATAAATGGCTATTCTCAAGCATTAGCACTTCCCCAGAAAGAAATCTGTTAATGGAATGGAAAACATGAACTGGGAGTATAAAATGATGTGTGCAGTGATCCACTGACCCTCCACAGTTCGATAAACTGGGTAATGTTACAGCCCTTAAAGATCATTTAAATTATAAAATCTGACAGAACAAAGTTTATGGTGCCCAGGCTTTTATTTTAAACACACTAAAATTTCCTCTGACTGCACTCTGAAAGTCAAATTATTTCACTTCAACATGGATGTCTCCAGAAGAAATACTGGAATAGTATAAAAACATTCAGAAAATGAAAAAATTAGAACCTCAATGAGCCAATTAAAACTCACCATCAAAATAAAACTGATGGGTGAATTTAACATCCTGCTGTTGCAGAGCATAGGAAGCTATAAAAGCCTTAAACCCAATATGGGGAAAACTGTGATTTTAAGTTTTGTGTAAACAGTAAAAAGCTCCTCAGTGGGGAATGCCTTTTCCACAGTCAGTTAGAAGCAGATTGTCAGGACCAGGATGGATTTGTAACAGTGTGGTCATCAATACATCCATGGCAGCTGTTGCACCCTTAGAGTACAGTTTTCCTTACAGTATAACAGAAATGGAATAGCATCCAAAGTAGTCCAGAAATGAAATGACAAAAGTGGGTCAAATTTGTCTTAGCCCTAGCTCCTGAAGAGTTGTGAACCGTTTGTCTGAAATGCAATGGAAAGGGTTGGCCCATTAGTACTAACAGTAACAACATCTTACACCTTGACAGATCCCCAGAAGACTGAAAGGTATGCGCACACACTGTCAGTGCCTTATTTAGACAAATGACAAGTAATAGCAGACAACGTGAAACATTGTACTAATGGATCAGAACTTTTTCCTCCCTAAGTTCCATATAACAAAACCAGGAAAGCTTTTCTAGCAACATTGAACTACAAAGCTTCTTCCAAGAGAGACAAACACAACAAAACATTTTGAGAATATAGCTAGAACCTAGTCAGGAACTTAGATTTTATGTACTATTATGCAATAAGCTGAAATCTGTTGTATAATTTGACTATGTGAAACTGGTTCTGTGGTAGGGTTACACCTAACCACAGACAAGGGGCAGTTGTTTTCTGTTAAGCCAACTTGAAGATACGAGGTGTACCTTCACTGGCTGTTTTTTTCTACAGTGCAAAAGCAATAAAGGACCTAGAGCTGATGATCAAGGCAAAAGATTCCAGGTAGGGTGGTCCAGAGAAGGTCTTGGAAGAACTACTTCTGCCTCTAGTGATTTCTGGAAAGGCATCAAACTGACCACCAGAGCACTAACCCAACATGACATTCAATACTTGAAATTCACCCAATACAAACAACTGAACACAACAACTGACATCCAGACAAATGCAGACAACACAAGATAATTTGAATAGTAATTTAGAAAATGAAAGGCCCATCTTTTTCTGCTTGTGACACTTCACACTTGAGGAAGGGAGACATTCTCCTCTCCTCCCTTTAAAACAAAAGTATTTTCAGTATGGGATCCAGTTATTGAGTTTCAGGAAGTTATTTCCTCCAGATGTAAGCTATCATTTTGACAGCTGAAACCAGTAACGACATGCATAACTCTCGTGCCCTGGTAAGTAAAGCAGGTTTTTGTGAACCATTTCACAATGCTAAAAGGTACTTGAAAGAGGAATGTGGTTTAAGTCAATCAGTATTATTTGTACTGAAGTAGAGTGTAAGACTACACACAGCCAGTTATCATGTTGCAGCTGAAAGATTCTTATATGGCCAGATTCTTATATGACCAGATTGCTTCTGATCATCTGATCAAATCTTAAGACCTGCTAAGGAAATGAGTTCACATCATTACAAGCTTTAAAATAGAATCAGCTTGGTTTGTGATCACAAAGAAAGACTTTATGAGTGGGAAGCACAAAGAGTAAGAACTCCTGGGGATCCTCTGAACTCCCTCTTTTTTTTTGCTTTTTTTTTTTTTTCTGTAAACTAATCCAGCTAGGGAATTATTTCAAAATTTATGCACCCTGGTATTGTCCCGAGGAGAAGGACTTGAGGGTGTTGGTTGAAGAAAAACTTAACATGAGCCCAGCAATGTGCACTTGCAGCCCAGAAGGCCAACCACATCCTGGGCTGCATCAAAAGATGTGTGGCCAGCAGGGCAAGTGAGGTGATTCTGCTCCTCTACTGTGCTCTCACCTGGAGCACTGTGTCCGGTTCTGGGGTCCCCAACACAAAAAGGACATTGAGCTGTTGGGGTGGGTCCAGAGGAGGACCATGAAGATGATCAGAGGGCTGGAGCACCTCCCTTATGAGGACTGGCTGAGAGAGTTGGGGCTGTTCAGCCTGGAGAAGAGAAGGCTCCGAGGTGACCTTATTGTGGTCTTCCAGTTTTGTGGTCTTCCAGTTCCTGAAGGGGTCCTACAGGAAAGCTGGGGAGGGACTTTTTGCAAGGGCAGGTAACGAAAGAACAAGGGTTAGTGGTTTAAACTGGAAGAGGGTAGATTTAGACTAGATATTAGGAAGAAATTCTTTACTGTGAGGGTTGTGAGACACTGGAACAAGTTGCCGAGAGAAGTTGTGGTGAACACCTAGAGGTGCTCAAGGCCAGGTTGGATAGGGCTTTGGGCAACCTGGTCTAGTGGGAGGTGTCCCTGCCCAAGGCAGGGGGGTTGGACTGGATGATCTTTAAGGTCCCTTCCAACCCAAATCATTCTGTGTTCCTATGAATTATCAGTAAGTCCTGATAATGTCAAAAGTTTTAAATTTCTGAAAATAAGCTCTCATGAAGAATAATGAAAACAAGTATTTAAGCTGCTGAAAAGAGTAAATGCTGTCATCTACAGTAAGCAACTTCCCATCTTCTAGTTTAATGGCTGTGTACTATATGACTATTAATTCATACCTTTTTGTCATTTATTGACAAAGACGTTTTTACTGTCCTTTTTAATTCCCCTGTTACCAAGAATGTAAAACACCCGTTAGAACAGATTACTAATACTATATGTAGATGCTGGATGCCATCTGGGCCATAAATTCTAAAATCAAGCTTTTATATCTTTATTTTATTCTGAAAACTCTAAGCATATACCCAACACAAATATGTGATTAAACCAAATTTCTTCAGTAATGTTATTCAAGTTAGTGCAAAACAAATGCATATGTATTTGTAGAACAAGAGTCTAAAGAGGAATTTGAAAAGATTTGCACAAAACAGTAAACTACAGAAAAGGAGTTTGGGTGCTGTATTGAGCAGGAGATCAGTGCAGTACTGTCACTGATGCTGTTACTTCTGCCTAAGTGAGTATGAAATCTGAGCCATCAATAAAACCCTAGCTGTGCTCTTCAACTACACTTGAGACATACTGGTTAAAAAGATATAATAATGTTGCTGGTGACAGGTTTTACAGGTAGAAGACTTCACTGCATAGCGATATCAATCCAGAACCTTCCTAAAGCACTGAAGTATCAGGGCTCTGGATATCAGGTGAAGCTTATTTTTTAAATGAAAATCAAGGCAAGAACTATCACCAGCAATTTCATTATTTTAATAAGACAGGAAATACATTCACTAAATGGTAGTTTCAATTTTCTACGTCTGGCAATGAAAAACAAAGAAAATGAAAGCACAGTGAGTTGATAACAATGAGCCTGTGCACATGGCAAACCACAGACTTGCTTTGCCACGGGAATGCTCACAACTGCTTGGTGTCTGCAATGCAAAGACGTCACGATCCGGAGAAGTGGAAAATTCCAAAAGAAAAGGAGGCTTGCCTTCTAGGGCATTACACCCTAGAGATTACTTCTTATTGGAAATTGTGTCTGTTCTTTTTACTATTTTTATAAACTCAGGACCCCAGTGAGATACACCCCTGTGATCCCGCTGCTGCTACTCCTACCACCAGCTGATGACATTTGTGTCAGAGAGACAGGGAGTGCGTGAGAACGACTCCTCCTGCACCAGCTGCCTGCGCTGTGCCCCTGCTGCTGCTCCTACCAACAGCAGCTCCCCACCCTCTCAGCATTCAGGGAAAAAGATTACTTTTCCTATTTGATAACATTGACTGAAGACTGAGAACTCAAAGTTCACAGTCCTCTAGTATCATTGCAGCAGAGGTTACTGATATGCTTAGAAGACCTGAGCTGAACTGGGTAAGCCCACTGGAAAAGAACAAGAGAAGTGCTACAGCACCCAAAACACTTGTGTATAATGATTTTTCCTAACAATCTGAGATATGTCTTTGCTAGAAAAGCCATCATCACAGACTTGTATCATGCCTTTTTCTTGGCTAGAAACACAGGGCTTTAGCCTGTGGACCACAAGCTCAGGCTGATCTCTGTGTTTGTGTGCATCCTCACTGACCACAGAAAAAGGCTTTGCAAGAAGCCTGTGTTTGCTCACAGGAGCAGTTTGCAAATCCAGACTCAGAAGCTGCATAGCCTGCTGAAGAGTTTTTACTTACAGGAGGAAAAATACATGGATCTTGTATATGAAATGCAAACTTTCAGCTCAAATTACATCTAATTAAGTAATAATAATTAAAAAAACAGGATGTAAAAATACTTCTATGTTTTAAGGAAATACTAGTAGTCCTCTGAGTCTTTCTTGTGGATTCACAAGTCATTTTTTGACAGAGGTGTGAACTTTATCCTATGCACTTTGAAAGCTGCACAACCTATTTTCAGGAATGTACTAAAAAACCCCACAACTCTTT